TTGATAATGTCAATTTTTTATTGACACCATTCAACCAGGTTTTATTAACTTTTATTATTACATATTAGTTTTTTTAATTTGATAATTTTTTTACCACATGTCTTACCAAAAAAACTAGTAGGTATCTTCCAAATTATGAAAAAAAATGGGTCCCTATATAAAATTGGAAAGTTGTATATAGTCCAAAATATACTAGGAGATTTAGAAAAAATCAAAAATTGTCTGACTATATTAAAAGCCATTTACTTAATTTATTTTTTTAATTTATAAAATCGGGCCATAAAGAAAAATCTTGCACCGTTGTCGTTCTTGAAAATCACCCAGTATATGCAACTAAAAATTTTTGAAAATTCTTTCAGTATTTTGCATAAAAAAACAGTCGTGGTTATTGCCAGTAAGACACCTGAAAAGTCGAAAGAGTTTCAGGAGTGCAAAAAGAATTTCGTTTTCGTTGCGAAAAACGCCCCATTTCAGTGAGAGTAGTCTCCAAGCACCCTAATTATCCGAAAAAGTCGCTGGTATTCCAAGTCTTTGTTGGCGTGTTAACCGGAAGAGCGGTGTGTGTGGGTCCGGGGATGGCGGGGGCCGCCCGGAGTCAGTGATGTGATGTTGGTGGGGGCGCGAGAGGGGCCGCTAAGTAGTCCAACGACCTACTTTGGCAACGACGCATACTTTACTCGACTTGTATCTTGTCTTTGTACAAAGAAGAGATTCTTCGGCCTCGATTCTCGTTTTATTCACGACACAAATTTACCGAATTCGGCAATTTTTACCACGGAAACTTTTACTCTTGACTCTCTTGGTAATTATTCACTGGAATTACCGTTTCCGATAGAAAACAAACCATTCATAACCTACAGTAACTTTTACATGGAAATTATATAAATTTATGTCAATGTACTCGATGCGAGCAGAAATTCATTTTGATTCGTAATTATTGTCTACAAATGTTGCGTTTACGGATCTTAATTTGTGTTTACGTCGAAAAATTCTCATGAATATTTATCGAGGGACTTTTCGGGCTTAAATTGAAGGGTTTTTAAATGATAATTTTTCTCTAATAGTCGGAGAAATTGGTCTGTCTGGACGAGGAAGAATTTCAATTATTGGGTTGCGTATTTTTACCCAATCAAACATTAAAATCAACAGCAGACAAAAACTGAATTTAGTCACAAAAAACAAATTCTTCTATTTTTTGACTAAGTTGTGCATTTTTTGTATGAGGTAATGGCTTCTCTGGCCGTCTTAAAGAAAATGGAAAATGTTAATTTAAAACAACTTTAAAATTAATAAAATTTAAATTTTAATTTTGCTCAAATTAAATTTTACAAAATATAAAAATTTGGCAAAACATCAAGAAATATAAATTGTTTTGTTGCTAAAACTCACATTTAATGTTTTTTATTTTGTACTCAATGTTAAATAGTGCTTTTATCAACTAATTTCAGTAGATAAAGTAGTCTTTTAAAGTCTAGTGAAATAAAGTAATTTTTATCAACTGCTTATATTCCAAAATAAAACGAAATATTATACACAACAACAAAAAGCCCAAATTCTTTATCGTCTTGTATAATAAATAACTATTTTTCTATTGATAATTTACTGCTGTTTTTCTACGAAAATAAGTCAATTTTAGCACTTTTCAATTTTCATTTTCAGTAAATTATTAATAATACTCCATTGTCAACAAGTTGAAATTTATTTTTGCAATAATACAATTTTTTATTTATTTTTTAAGCAAATTTATGTACAAGTATTCTGCAATGTGTGTAATGTTATTTGCACAATTTTTAGTGAACTCTGCTAATCTTTCAGTTAGCGAAATGATAAAGCAGGAAATCTATCTAAAATGTCAGCTAATCTAACATCTGACATTTTAACTACCTAACATTTATCAATTTGCTCATTTCATGCCATTATATATCCATAAAAATGTAGTCTAAACGATGCTTTTTGACACATATCTTGTTACAAACCTCTAGTTTAAAAAAAAATAGTTATTTTTGTGCTCAAGTTTACTATTATTGCCTCTAAATTCAACTAAATTGTATGCTAAGCAATACAGTTTAAAACGATTAATTTTGGAAAGTGTGCTATAAATAACTAAACTATGTTAAAATAAATATATTTTAAGCAAGAAGACGTTCAAAGTTTCTCAAAGTAACACAAAAATTCCATTTTAATCACCTCTGAATTTACAATTTTTATTTAGCCATAGAATTGCAAATTTAATCGATAATTGATAGTGCTATTAAAAGGCAACCCACTATAAAACCTTTCAATTTTTAAATAAATTGCCATTTTTGAAAAAAACTAAATTTCATTTTCAAAACACATTTTTTATAGCACAAGAAAAAAGCTTAGCTCCATACTTTTCGTGCACTCTGTATAAAAATTCTGTCAAAAAAATTTGATATTTATTTTTTGACATTTGACACTTTTTTATGGTTAGTTAATTATACTGATGATCTTTCATATGTTTTTTTTACAATTATTTGGTAAAAGTACAAAAATTTTGCCAATAAAAGCCATAAATAACATTAAACAGAGTTACAATTTCCTTGTTTCCTCTCTTAATGGGCTGAAGCAGAAAAACTTGAAAAAATATTTTTCCAACAAAAATAAATAGAGTCAAAGTGCAAAATTTTAACTCTCATAACTTCGATTTTTATACATATTTTTTTTAACATTTTTTCCATGTTTCTGGTATTTTACTTACTGGGGCGCGAGTTCTGGCGCACCCTGTATAATTGTTCTGACTTGACTTGATTATAAGTCTTGTTGAGAAGCACATTACTTTCAAATTATGGTTCATTTCTGCGAAGCAATTAGTGATTTTCAGACCGGCTGTATATCGAGAATTGAGCTTCCCTGAAACCGCCTGAAATTTTGTTAAAATTTGTTGTCAAAGTCGACAATTTTCCACATGCAAATACCAACATTACCATCACATGAATAAAAAAAATGGAACGGGTCGAACTATTGTACATTGTATAGAACAATAATCCATTTTTCGCCTGTTTAACCGAATTTCGTTGGTGAGTAATCATAATCACCTCGTTCATGGCCAGGGTGATCAAAAAAACCAGATAAAGTCCGAGATACTTACAAAAAGAGCTAAATTCCGATAACACAAAAATCGATATCCGCAGTGAGAACACACAACACATCCGTTTTTTTTTTCAGTTTTTTGATTCTTTTTTCAGTTCACCGCTTGGGTTTGTGCAAAACGTTGCTTTTCCTCCGCAAATACATCCCGAAATCGAGCACTAGTTGCGGTTTTCTTTTGTAACACGAATAATGATTTATAAGTGTGTTACGGTGTCATCGGTTTAAGTCCAGTCTTGGATGCTCCGGGTCAACCCATCAATGCACAATTCCGCACAAAAACCCCCGGAAAACACTTCGACGACACTCAATTCATCACGGTGGTGGAGGGTGGGATTTTGGGGGCGCCGAAATTGCCGAAATTTCGTAAACACGGACGTGCTCTTTGCGACAGAGGACGCACTACTGGACACTGGAAGCCCTACTCAATACCACTGGCCCCTAGAAGTCCCCTCTACAAGAATATAACTGTACCTGTTGTAGATCCATACTGAGTACACTGAGGTAACCTACTTTGCTCGGGTGGGGAGGCTTGTCTAGATGATGACTACAGATTTTGATGTCTTCGGGGGTTGGCCCCACCTGGGGCGATTTTCGCTAGTTTTGGCCAAAACTTAACAAAGTGTGATTTAATTCGACTTTGTCAAAATAAGTTAACACATTTCGTTTGAGTTTAATTAATTATATCTCTTGGATCTTGATGAAATTGTGCACATGCGCACTGGAAGTGCGGTTGCTGTTCTGATTTACTATTGAAATTTCCTGCAATCTCGATTGCGGGCGCTCAGCCAAGGAAAATTTACTCATTTTTGTTGAAATGTGGAAAAAATGAAAGTCATTTCCACTCAGGATGCAGGAAAATCATTGCACAAGTGCTTCGTTTTGTTTCAAGTTGTTTTCTTAATTATAGAGACAACTAAATGAGCGACTGAAAAAATAATTGTCACTTGACCTCAACCACCTGCCGCTTCCGTTTTCTTGAATTTATTTGGATTTATTCTCTCGGAAAGACATTAAAAGACTTTGAGAGGTGATTCTTTAGGTCAAGAAAAAACTTGGCCTTATTTGTATAAAAAAAACTTTTTTTATATTGACATAAAAAATCACCCTCGGAAATCTTTTAAGGTTTTTTCAGGACAACCTGTATATGCAATTTTGTTTTTTAAAAAAATATTTTTATATGAAACTACTTATATTTAAAATTAAAGTAGATGTTTGTCGTTTAATACAAGAGGATAGCTATCAAAATCCTGAAATTTTGCAAAATAACTGTTATCAAAAAAGTAAATATTTTCATAAAAGAACGCTTTTCTCAACCTACAATTTTTTATTATAAAAATTACTGTCTTATAAATGCAAGAATAAATAGAATATTGTTTTTTTCTAGGATTAAGAGTGTCACTTTTTTGGCGAAACAAAAAACTTATTTTTAATCCGAATAAAACATGTTATTTTTTCTTCAGTCAACAACAACATGCGCAAAATTAAAAAAAAAGTATATTGTTTTATATTAGGATTAAGAGTCAATTTTTGAAGCTAGAATTGAACAAAATTTAGGTCTACGATTAAAAGTGAGAATTGTCATGATAACAATTTTTTTCCTATTTATAAAAACGTCAGTTTAATCTTTCAAACATGTCATTAAAAATGACGTTTTAATCCGACTGGAGAAAAACTTAGTTTTGTAACTTTGATAAAATAAAAAGTACCAAAAATTATTTTTATTTTAAAATAAAAATAATTCTGTTTTTTATTTATATATTTCGTGCAAGAAACAATACATAAATTAAAAAATTAATGAAAAATTAAAATACTTAAGTTGCTAATCAGTCATAACACTCATAACTAAGGATTTTATCATTTTTATAAATAATACCTAGATTGTTGAGATGAAAAACAAACTGAGTGTCCGGAAAAACAATATATTATTTATTAAAAAAAATCCAATATAAAAATATTTTTCCTTAGAAACTATATTTAAAATTAAAGTAGATATTCTTGTTTAATACAGAGGACTGAAATTTTGAAAAATAATTTTACACTGAGGTAACCTACTTTGCTCAGGTAGGGA